CGGCTTTTATAGTCCACCGCTCGTGCGCAGCAGTGAAAGCTCTGCGCTCTGATTGGCTCCACCTGAATGCTGTATTGGTATGATAATGCTATTGTCTCTCTGTGGCTCGTGGCAGATTGATGGGGGTCATCGAGCCGCGCACGCGCTCCTTCTGCACGTTGCAGCAGCCTGCTCTGAAACAAACTTCAAAAACCTCCAGTTTGCAAAGGAAAAGTTTATTTAGCAAACTGTTTCTGCAAAATTCTCCTCGCTGTCCTGCTCTTCCTGCACGAACGCGTCCTGCTGCGTTTTTAGGCTCCATGCATTCACAACAAACCTGAAACAATCAGGTGTGTGCAGCTTTTAGTGGAAATGCAATCAGGAGAGCGCACTTCTGCGCTCTAATAAAAGTATCCTCATAAATTAGTCTGAATATAAAAACTTTATCCGATTTTCTTTCTGAGTTTAGCACAAGCACCAGAGAGAAAGTGCCCCCCCCCCCCCCACACACACACACACACACACTAACCCCTTCAGAGACACAAAGGGCAGGTGGATGATGCCATCTGTAGACTAGAAACAGGACGTAAAACGGGCTCATTGTGTTCACAGAAGCTCCTTTATTATTACCACGCCCCCCCCCCCTTCACACACACACGCACACACACACACACACCCTAAACAAATGCAAATGAACAGCGCGTGCCAGAACTGTGCCTGCTGCTGCAGACCACGTGACCATCAGCTGCTGGCCCTTATTTCTTTACGTCTGAACAGGAACTCCTCTTCTCGCTCCTGACGCAGCAGGACTTTTACGCGTGGCTCCGGTTCCTTTGATCTTTGACTCAGCTCCGCAGGATCAACTTTATTTACTTTTATGAAAACAGCAAATGTGCAAAAACCCAAAAGCCGAACGAAGTTTCCACTCCTGCACTAATTTATGCGTCTTTTACACCCAAGTCGTCCTCACTGATCCGTGCAAACATCACACCACCGATAGCGCACATTTCACCCCTCAGCGAGGGCCTGCTGCTGGGGGGGGGGGGGGGGGGGGGGGGCTGAGACACAGGTTGGCGGTGATTGATGCAGCGCTATTGTGCGGAAGGCCGAGCGGCAGATGGAGGACTGTCGCAATGAGAGACCCCCCCCCCCCCCCCCCCCCCCCCAGTCCGAGGCCCGGATCAGCCCTGATCTGGGGGGTCTTTTGTCCACAAGTCTCCAGGCTGTCGTCTGAGTTTTGATTTAATTTGAATCCCAGAGAAGAGAAAATGAGGCTCCGAACGTTTAAAGGTCACAACCGGAAATAGTTCAAACTTGTATCAGCTGACTTTGTTTGTTTGTTTGTTTGTGACACATTAAAGTTCGACTCTACTCTTCATAGGCGTCATTTTAACCGGGGACACCGGGGACATGTCCCCGGCAAAATTTGTGATTGGAAGCTGTGTCCCCCCCACTTTCAAAAATGCCTGCCGATGAGGATTTTTGTTTTACCAGCTCATATCTTATACCAGGGGTTGGCAACCTATTCCCATCAAAGAGCCATTATTACCCGTTTCCCACAGTAATTCTGGATGGACCTTAATAAGCAGTGACTTAAGTGAAGCAGGCAGGTCGCGCTAGAAAACTTAGTTTAAAAAGACGTCATAAATGTGTTCCCCCGTCATTTTTATTTCTAAAATATGAAGTAAAAACTCACAATTTAATTTTCATTCATTTGTCATTAATATTTAGTCTACACCCGTGCGTTAAGTGGACCATCTTCCAGTAAACGCAAAGCATCCAGTCCACCTCTCCAAATGCGTAAAATGTGCATCAGCCGCTAGTTAGGCGCGCCATCAGCTGATCAGCCCAGACAAGAGCAGAGCAAATAGAGAAAGAATAGAGGATGATTCTGTCTGGATGTGGATGGAGATTACATTTTACAGCAGCCTGATCATCATTTAAATACGTAAACTATCACCTGGCTTCTAGTCCATGCTATCAGCATTATTTTAATTGGTGTGTGTGTGTGTGTGTGTGTGTGTGTTTTCCACTTCAAACACTGGTCTAACCAACCAGACCAGCGAGTCCAGTAACATATTAATGTTACAATTAAACAGTTTGACTTCATGTAGGCTAGGAACATTCCACCTGCCGTGGCCCGACCGCTTCTGCTCCACATAAACTTTGTGCGTGATCAAATGTCTCTACGCGTCATGCGTCTCCATATTAGAGACGGGAACAAGCGCTGTTCAGCCAAAGTTTCATAATTTCATAAAAAGAACATTTTTCCAAGTGACACATCCCTCAGAGAGACCGGGTTTCCAGAACGCTTCAGTGGGAGGAAATCTTATCGCATTTATCCGTCAATATGTGGCAAGGTGGAAAAACGAGGGCCCGGGCGTGATTTGATCCCCAGACTCCCGGGTGAGAGTCATACCCTCTAACCAGTCAGCCAAAGGGACATCCCCTTGGCCAAGTAGCCAGGGCGCATTATCTATCGGGACACTGTGACAGGACCCTCACACTGCCACACCTGATTATGAAACTTTGGCTGAATAGCGCTTGTTCCTGTCTCCAATGTGGCGACGCATCCAGGAACCTGTCTGAGGAGAAGCCCAGAATCTGACATCCTCCAGCTCAGAAGCGCCGATATGATTACGCACAAGCGTGACGCGTCAACCCGGTCTCACAGTAAGACCGGGTTGGACCTGTTCAGGTTTACGCAGACAATCTTTACATTTAGAATTGGCATACAGATGTAAAATTAATGCAGTAACATATAAAGCATTTTATTTAAACATCCATTCATTATTTTAAGAGCACAGAGAGCGCATCAGATGGACGGAAGAGCCGCATGCGGCTCCAGAGCCGCCGACCCCTTTGCTAGCCTACTTTATTGTCCCCAGCAATTTTTAAACCCCACTCAAGTGTATGGTTATTGTCCCCAGCAATTCTGGAAACAAACTGACGCCCTTGCTACTCTTTGATCCGGGGTCAGCTGAGCCGATCTGCCTGCAGGCGTGTGCAAGTCGATACCGAGCCATTGTTGCTGCACATCTGCCCTCAGCGCGACAGGTGCTGCTGCAGCTCAGCCGAACCGAACCTCAGCGTCAGAACCAAAACTGATGGGATCTGTCCGTCGCTATGGAAACCCACATATCCAGCGCGAGGGCTCCTCCGGATGCCACGCGCCCGGAGTGAGGACCAAAGCAGCGGCGCGTGCCACGGACTGATCCTCAAAGGAACCGTGCAGAGATCAGAGGACCAGTAGGACGTTTGGAGTTTTTATAAAACTTCATCATCTGGTCTGAAGCACGATTTTTTTTTACTGTTTTTATTCAAACAAACAATAAAAACAGTTTATCATCATTCTCCTAACCGATTTCACACAAATGTGGTTAAATATTTAGACAGTGGGGCTGCTGCTGGGCAGCATCACAGGAAGAGTGAATTAGACTAAAGCAACCAGGAGCTCAGAAAGACAGAATTATGGTTAAATCCGTGTTTACTGGTCAGGACACTCATTAGAACTTCATTTGTTTTTATTTCATCAAGGATCTGCTGTCACGATCTGCCCCTGCCCGCCTGACTGTGTTCCTCTCCTGCCATGATTACCCTTATTGTTCTCACCTGTCCCTCGTTTACCTGCCCATGTTTCCCTAATTAGCCCTCTGTACTTAAACCACCTGTTTTGCCCCTGTCCTTTGTCAGTTCATTGTTGCTGTCTGCTGGTGTTTCTGTTCATCCCATCCTGCCATTAAACCATTTTTACTTTTACTGAAGCCTGCATTTTTCCTCCTGCTCAGCTCAACCACACATGGTCCATCATCTCCACCTCCTACACCGTGACATCTGCAACTGTGGCTCTGGGTCCACACGAGTCCGTCCGTCCTTCTGAGGTGGTTTCCTGTAACTTTAACCTAAACGATGTCAGCCCAGAGCTGCAGGGGCGAAAACCAGCCGGGGCTTTTGGAGCCCGATCCTCGATATTCCATATCCACCATGTTTTAGTTGTTTCCCTGCTCCAGCACAACATCTGTGCTCGCCTCGCCACAACAAAACATGAACAGGCCAAGAAAAAACACTAGCTGCTCGTTGGTGATGTAAAATATCCATAAAGTTGCAATGAATGCCCTAAATATCATTCACACACACACACACACACACACAGTTATTTTTGATCCAGCTTTAAGTTTAGACTCACACGTCAAAACCATCTCCCGCTCTTGTTTCTTCCAACTGAGAAACATTTCAAAAGTCCGTAAACTGGTTCCTACTGCAGATCTGGAAAAAACCATCCATGCCTTTATGTCATCACGCTTAGACTACTGTAACTCTCTTTTTACTGGTCTCAGCAAAACCTCCCTCTCACGCCTTCAAGCCATCCAAAATGCAGCAGCCAGACTCCTAACCAAATCCAGCAGACGAGCTCACATCACTCCAGGTTTACAGTCCCTCCACTGGCTCCTGGTAGAATATAGAATACAGTTTAAAGTTTTAGTGCTGACCTATAGAGCTCTTAACAACCAGGCTCCAAGCTACCTATCTGAGCTTTTATCCCCACACACCACCTCTCGGAACCTCAGATCCACATCTGAAAACCTCCTGGCTGTTCCTCGAACCAGACTGAAAACCAAAGGGGACAGGGCCTTTCAGACTATTGCAGCCAGACTTTGGAACAGTCTACCTTCAAATCTCCGTCTCTCTAACACTGTAGAGGTCTTTAAAAATCATCTAAAAACTCACCTTTTCATCCAGGCGTTCCCTCCCTAAATGTTCTAAAAGATGGCTTTGTTCGGGTTCACACCTTCACTTTGTTTATACTCATGATTTTATTTTCTACGTTTATCACTGCTATTGTTTTTCTGATGTTTTTATTGGTTAGAGGTATTTGCCCTGATCTTTATCATGTTGTACAGCGCTTTGTGATTTATATCTGTGAAAGGCGCTATAAAAATAAACTTTTACTTACTTACTTACTTACTTACACACACACACACTGTGCTATGCTAGCATCATTAGCTTTGGACACATCCACA